TAAAAAATGCTGACAATCTTAGTTGAATGATTTTATAAAAATGAATAATATGGAATTAATATTATGCAAAGCCTCGCCACAGTGAGCAGGAATCGGGACACCAGCGCGTTGATGCTGGCGGCCGTCGATCCCTTCAGGGATGGAAAAATCCTCAATGACCTCAGACATTTTTCACTGACTCCAATGAATTGATCTTCGTGGTTTAAAAAAGCACCCAAAAAGATGTACTGATGAACCCCGCACCCCCTATCCCCACATGCTGCGCCACACCCAGCTGCGAATAGGCAGGCCTCGTCTTCCCATGCAACAACATCCTGCCGCATGCCTGGGGGGCAAATGCTGCCCATCCACACCCCCACTTACATATTCAAGAGCGCTGGCTTTTCCCAGCCCGCCGCCAACACCCCCCCTGCTATTGCAGAAGTTGAAATCGGCAACATTTTTGGCCCCGCCTTCAACCCAAAGGGTAATCGAGTCGGCCGCCCAACAGTGCCATCCGCCACTCGACAACAAAATTGATGCTTCACTTCTACCAGAAGGGAAATCTGAAAGAATAAAGCCCGGAGCTCGACTCATGAATCCGCCTCCGACAAGATTGCTGCCAAATATTTCGATATGCGACACAATGGCGAAAACACTTCGCAGGAATCCCCTGCGTTATTCTTCTGCGGCCGCGCTTCCACCGAGAGAGCGGCCCAGCAGGCTTATCGTATGTAACGAAAAAGGCACAATTCACACCCCGCTCTTCATGGATGAAGCGCCTTGGGCAATTCCAACCCTCTAGAGATATTGGGCGCCTGCTGCGGGTATCCGGAGTATGATTTGCTTCCCCTTTCTTTTTCGCAGGCGGCGCGGTAAGAGTACCAATGTTTATTCAAATTATTCGCGTGAACGCGGATCAAACCGCTTCACGAACAGCGCGCTGCCCAGAACAAGAACATTGTCCTGCTATAATGGGATGGTTTTTCCCTCTGAAGTAGTAACCCTTCTTGCGTGACTTTGGTGCGTGGTTGTCTCCTTTTTTTAAAGTGTTAGTGTTTCTTCCCGTAATATTCATGCTTCCTCTCCCTACCTCTGTTCGTGCATTAGATCAAAACCACCAGGTAGAAAACATTTTTAAATAATACGCTGCACGTCCCCAGGGGAAGAGCCACGTTTTGCAAAAGCTCGAACTGACCGGCGCGATTCGTCTTTTGTAGAATCACATGTGGGTCCGGGCCTCTTACCTCCACCAGATGCGCCGCGTACCTCATTGTTCTGCGTTTTATATAGTAGGCTCTTGCTCCACATAGCGCCAGAATGCGTTGTACAATTACTGCTTTCGGTATGGTCAGGTGCTCGAGGAGCATCAGCGTTGAGAGGAATCTGGTCATGTCGAAGGTGTCTTAACCCTGGATTCTTATATCCCTTCTTGATCGATGGGGATCGGCCTTGGGTGCCACTGCTAGGTTGAGTATTAGTGAGTCATCCGTTTTATGTTGAGCGATTCCTTTTCTCCGCTGCAATCACAGGCGGTCAACTTAGGGTGATCCACGTTGGCCAAAAGATTACTTTCCTTCCAACCGTCCCTGGAAAGAATTGCCTGGACCAAAATCTCTTTTGATAAAGCCCTCCCTTCCTTTATGGCGCAACTGGGGGCACTTTTTTGCTGTCCCAGGGTTGGCTTATCCAAAGGCGCACGGTTATTAGAGAGCATCGCTTTTAACATACACGCGTGCTGAAAGCATGTTCTGGGGTATGCGCCGTTCAACGTTACGAAAACAAGCCGCCCTTTCTTAGTTCAGCGAATGGTTGTGTATTAGGTATAACGTTTTAAACCGACCCGCCAAAAAAAGTTGCTGCTCCCACAGGGATGTGGCCCACATTTCCCACCCACTGCACATTGCCTTCGCCAGCACTGGGGAATAGCGGTGGCGTGGGCGCATTGTGATGACATGGGGGCTTTGTTTCAGGGTGGCATCGGGTCCTCGGCCTCTTTCCTTCCACTTTCTAACTGCACCAGGTAGTCTAAAACCTTTTGGGGTCGATTTGTTACCCCTTATGGGCTCAAGATGAGAGATGGAGATGACCCCTCAGAAGCCATAGGTGGCGGCCGGTCCCTGCGCACTCTTTGTGGTAATTACTGCCCGAACGCAGTGGCAATTATCTATGCACCCATGACCCCCACGGTCGCTCATTACACACCAACACCTCGTATCCGTATGTGTTTCACAATGTTCGTCTGATTCGGTTACCTTCTCCACCCCCGCCCTCTGTCAAGAAGGGCCCCAAAAAAACAGGCCCCGTAGCGGTGTGCGGGCCTTTGGTTCCAAGCAATTTAAACCTTGGTTTCGCGCAAATGCCCCATCGCGGAACCAAAGCCTAGCACTAAGCTCATTACTTGCGAAGCTAAATTTCCACAACTGCAGCAGTGAATCCGGCTTGGCCCCGGCTGCGCCGTGATAGGGCCGTGATAGGGCCGTGATACGGCCGCTGCTTTTTGGGTTAGCGTAGTTAAGTGCCGTGCAAATAGGGCGCCTTTTGTAATGGGTAAAATGCCTGAACAGTAAGACCGCAGTGGAAAATACACGCTACCAATCAATAAGTTTCACGGTCGAGTACCCGGTTGCTCGGGTTGGGGAATCCAACACCATATGCTACAGTTCTCCCGGGAACTGCGCCATGGTCCGGATAGAACGTAACCTGGTTCTCCGGGGGATCAGGCGGAGGGCCTCACCGGGGACCCCCCCCCTTGGGACACCATGCTGCCGGTGTCGTCCACGCCCGTGGGTTGAAAGATCCCCATGGCCAGGGGGCTTTTGTGGGTATGGGTGGGTTTCTCCCCCACCGTGTTTCACATAATCTGCTCTTACAAAGCATATATTCGCAAACGCATTCCCCCCTTTCCCCCCAGGGCAGCAGCAACAGGTCGTAAAATTCCAGGAGGAAGAAAAAAAATTACCCATTACATTCCGCATACGCATTGGCAACGCAACAATCATGCACGCAATGAGGAAAGGCAACACGCACTCAGATGCGCTGGTGCGAGATGCCTCTCCCATTGACCAGTTTCTGCGCGTGCGAGGAATACAAGCTTTATAAGGCTATGCCACGTCGGAAAATAATGCTGCAGACGGCATTTTACGAGATGAAAAAGTCCAGCGAACGGGCATCGCGAAGGGATGAAGCTCGTTAAGGGGAGCGCGGAAGGCGTGCTCAGGACGCTTTCAGTGCCTCTTTCATCAGTTTCATAAACATTAACTTTCTTGTTTTTTTGCACGACACCACCTACGCATTCAAGGGAAAGATGTACTCGCTTTGACCTAACTCTTGTTGGCATTTGGATGCGAGGAAAAGATCGCCGACATGATGACTGCAAAACAAGCGAAGTCTCTCACCCAGCGGGATGCGCAGGCACACACAATCAAAAAGGAAGGCACCGCAGCACATGGCAAATTTTGTTTTGCTACAGAATCTCAATCGCCATACGATCACGCAATCGGTGAAATACGTCGACCCTTTTGACTTTTCTCAGAATACAGCGCGTCACCTCGGTCCGTCCAAGGCTTGGATGGGTCGAGTATTGAAAATAATGGCTTTGATGCGGATATGGGTGCCGAGGGGCCGTGGATCCCATCGAAAGGCAAATCAGTATGGGATAAAAATGCGACGGTAACGCGCCGGATGCGCTACAGGCGCATGGCCGCTTCAGAGGAAGAGGCGCCAATTCTTCTGCAGCAGTTTATTGTCCCTGTCTTGAGCATGAAGTGGGCCATTTCCAGCTTATCCCTTACAGTGCGACGCCGTTTTTAAGAAGTGCGGAATCTGTTGTTACGTGTTCCGGGGACACCTTCACAGCCGGGGCGTCGCCTTACCCCTCTTATTGGCGCGCGTTTGCTACGGAAGGTGGGAATCGTGCGCCCTTCCCTCGGTGCATCCACTGGGCTTGGGTCATTTCTCCCTTCGTCGGGGCAGAAAAAAGCCCGAAAAGCGAAGGCGATGGATTGCACATCCACTGAATAAGAATGGCGATGAACCTTATGAGGTGGATGTTTCTTCCAACCACATTTCACATTTTTTGCCCTCGGTGTTGTCGGGTTTGGCTTCGCGCCTTGGCCCCAAGGCGCCCTTATTCCAGATTGATTTACTACAGGAAGCTCGACANTTTTTTCCGTTTTCGAAATCGGACGGGCGCCTTGTTGGAATTGACACGCCTTCCCATGTAACACAAGGTGGGCCCGGAGATTCTGCAGCTGACCGCTTCGGCGATTACCGAAGCTCCGGTTGTTACTATGCCGAAATGGGCTGCACATCTGGCACCGCACTTTGGGGTTTGGATAAGAAACACACGAATTTGAGGCGACCGTGTGGCATTCACCGGTTGGGAAACTATTGTGCCAGAAAAAGGGAAAGATCGCGGCGCCACCATCGGCGAGGGGGGGTCAGCGGCTCATCAGTAAATCTTTTTTTCGGGGGTACAATTCAACCACAACACTAGGGGGAGGTTTCTTTGAGCGACAAACCCTTTTGTTATTTACGAACATTCCCTCCTCTATCCTAGATTGCTGTGGGGAAAAATGGGGCATGCCCCCCCGCGCGCGCCATGCGCTTCGGCGGTCGATGGTCTACGGCTATGTTGTCCTTGCTTTTTTATGAAGGCAATTAGGCGCCGTTTATCCGCGTTTGGTGGCGGCTCGATTGGCGTTGACGTGTGCGCTGGCCCGGCGCCCTCTACAATCTGGTTGGGGCGGGGGCTCTTAGCAGCCCTTTTAACTAGCGCACCTTGTCGTGTTTTTTCATTTTTGCCCCCTGACTGTTTCGTGGGAAACAGGCGCGGCGCTTTCTTGGTGAATGGCGGTGTTTTTGCCGTCTTTTTGTGGGGTTTTCATCGCGGGTAGCAATTGACGGCGCGCCCCGCCACTTATCGCGCGGGCTGGGGCAAGCGGTGCGTGTTAAACTTTTTCTGCTTTTCCCCATCTTCTTCACTGCGGTTTGGGGGTTTGAGTGTCCAATGACTCTCTGTGAGGGGGGGTTTCTTCGAAGGGATCGGTAAAACCTTACTCCCTTTTGTGAGAAATTGCGCGGAGAAGCGTTGACAAGGGATGGGTTGGTTAAAAGGTCTTGCTTGCGAAGGGGTGTCAGTGGTTTCATGGGCCTAACAGGTTGTGGCCAATAATCTTTCCGATTGTAAGCAACGCATGGTGAGAAAGGGGCCAATTGTATAGATATTTATTTAATGTGGATAATATGATTTGGCACGATTCCGCTCCCATTGTTGAGAGAAGTGCAAACACGTTTGAGATTAATATTTTCCTTCAATTCTTTCTTTTGCCTATTTATTTTAGATCAAGAGGAATAGATTAAAGAATGGGAGCTTGCAAAAGGAATGGTCAAGCCTTACCCTACTTACTAAGCGGGAATCTTATAATCCATCATAATATGTGTCTTCATTTCTTGCGTTAGGAAAGTGTCGCAAAGCGTAAGTTTGAAACGAAGGCAAGTAACAAGGATTACAATGTTATCCACCAACCCCCAGCAGGCCCTCATGGACGTGGAATGGATGACGAGCCTATCAGCTCTCATGGCGTTTGTCGAATATTGCGGTCGGACCCCTTTTTCGTTCGAGTACAGACCAAATTTCAGTACGCATGTTGATCGCGCTGAGGGCAAACTCACATTGGAAGATGGGGAACTGACCGTTTGTCTGGAGAATGGAAGAAAAGCCAGTTTCGTTTCTTTGCGACACTCCATGTTGCCTTTTAACATGCCAAAGGACGAGAACTTTCCCAAGGCGTTTGACGATGCCAGGGCGACTTTCCGAACTGAGTGGAGGGCGTTGGAGGAAAGCATGTCAATGCTGTACCAGCAGTACGAGATGGCCAG